AATTACTCTGTACTAAAAGTTTGTAATCGAGAAATAATAAACTGGCTTAATCAAGAAAGGAGTTGTATCGCTGAAGTTCCTAGGAAAGAAATTCTACAGGAAATTAACAAACAAGTAGATACGTAACACTATTATTTTGCACACATAAGAATAAAAGTCTTTGAATAACCAACTAGGAATAAAAGTGACTTGTCACAGATTCCTTTATGTTCAACAATTAGATTAACAGGCTTCTTATTTTGTGATTCATATAACTTTTGATCCTATGTCAGAGTATAAAAATTAAGCTATTTTTGAACATATCAAAAAATGTTTTATTTCAAACAATTCAAACCCAATTTAAAACCTCCATCCATGTGCTACAAGGGTACGACAAATCATCATAAACTAAAACACATCTTAGTGAAATGATTGTAATCCCTCAAAGTTTAAGACTAACTAAGATGAACTTGTGACAACATTAACAAGTATTCTTCATATTTCTATAAATCCTGATAAAAACCTTTAGTGTGGACCTCTCTCAATCTAAATATTAGTGTCAAACATCAGAAAACATTTAAATATTTTCTGGATAAATTTTATCATTCTTCCTTTGCTTTTTTATGGTATATGATATACATATTACAATCTCGATTTTATATTTCACCAAGTTTCCTAATTACAATTTTGAACATTTGTATGATACTGCAGCTTTAAACTTACAATAAAATTCAAACAGCTAAAATCTTAGATTTGTAGTACAAAAACATACAATAGCATATCTACAAATACAAAACATAATAAATAAATAAACTAATTTGAACATTTTATTTTATTCAGAAAAGAAATAAACTTAACTATAACCAATAATATAGATTTTACAAATGTAGTAATAATTGATCTCTTTCATTTATCATGATAATTTTTATAGCTACCAAAAATATTTATAACATTACTGTGAGATGAATGGAACCTACAAAGTTCTTCAAATATTTGATGTGTATGAAAATTTATGTATTCATATTCAACTTAATCATTTGTGTTTATTTAGATCTCTAATAAAATTCTTTGGCTTCAAAACTATTAATTTTTTTAAATTGAAAAAAAAAGATCTTACACAGATTTAGTAGTTCTTATAAAGAAAAAATAAATCATACACACAAAAAATAGTTATAAATTCTTTCTCTTTTTTTTCCATACTAAAAAATACAAAAAGTTTTGTAAAATCTTAATTACTTCTACTTGGCAAAGGCAGAAGAATTCTGTAACTTTTCTTAGATTTTCACAACATATTTTACTAAGTAAGTTTTTGCATATGTTATTCTAAAATGCGAGGAGAAAGAACTATCTGGATTACCCTCACTGCAGGACAGTTCTTTTATTTCTCTGCAAAGAAGATAATTAAAAACATTTATAGATAATCTCCAGGCTTACTGCAATGCACGTAGTATATGCTGCAGTAAACAATTCTTATTCATACCTTGTAAAGTTTTAATTTTTCAAATCCTTAAGCTTATTTCCATAAAAAAACAATTAAACAAAGGAAACATTTGAATGAAGAATGAGTTACATAAATATATAATAATGGAATTGCTATACATAGAGAGTTGCAGATTTTGTTCATGCAGCCTTACAGTTTCTCAATGTATGATTGTGGAATACTTTTAAATATTCTGTATTACTCCACATAATTCTGTCAAGTTGTTTGATTTATGTTTGCAGTGTTTACATATTAAAGCCCATACAACCTCAAGATTCTTTGTATCAATATTTTGTGCAGATAAAGTCATGTCTGTGAGGGTTCTATCTACCTCTTTACACTCAAAATATTGATTCAACATACTTGCTATATGCTTAAAATCAATGTCTTGCTGAAAGATAAATCTACACCTAATGAGTTATGTATCTGAGAGAATGGCATGATGGATCAGAAACTTCGTGTACACATCAGCAGACAGGATGTCCTCAATTATGAATTCAACACTGACAACTGGGTGTGATGCAAGCTCAAACTTGTGCTGATCTTCCACCATGCTTCACTGTAAAGAACACACACATCTCCAGCTTTGCTTATTCCACTGTTTGTTGTATGATGCCTATTTCTAACTTTCAGTTTGGTTGCCTCTTCTCAATAACAGTTTTTGTACAGCTTTACATTTCTTAAGACCATTTCACACTGATATGTTTCTATTGTTATTCATTCATAGTTATTTATACCAAGGTCATTTTCAAAACCTGAAATTTACCATCACCTATCTCATAAACAATATATTCTGAGATACTTAATATCACTTTCAGAGTTTCAGTTTTCTACATCAACCATTTCTATTACCAAAAGTCTAGCAAACAGTTCTATTGAAACATGTAGTCCTGTCACAATTTTTTGCATGCAGTATTTTTGACCAGCCAATACTTTGATTTTTTACATGGTTTTCATGCAGTATTACAGCACTGGGAGATATGATTGGATGCAGACTACTACTAGTGGTCAATGGCATAGCCAGGGAGGGGGGGGGGCATGTAGCAATGGCCCCCTCTTTGGCTTTTATTTCCATTTTTCACCAGTTTTTCCCTGCAATTACTAATTTCTCAATGTAAATTTTTGCAGTTTTATGCTCTTTAGCTTCACCTGACATCTAGCCCACTCAAAATCCTATACACAGTTTCCAAAATTTCAACTTCAGCGTAGTCGCGATTCGCTGTAGCTGAGTGACATCAAAAAGATGGCATGTTATTGGCTGCTATTTTCAGTGTGCATACTGACATCATGAACTATGATTCAGTTCAGCCGTGTGCACTTTAGGTTTGACAGGTTCTGTTTCCAAGTTGGTTTTACCAATGACTTTGGCAGTTCTTCGGTGTGTTTAAGAGGAGGCTGGGTTGATTCTAGTAAATCAAGGTGGTAGAATTTTAGTGATATCAATGCAACAATAAGGCTATTGTCATTAATATGACAACCATATCTATACATATATACTGTCATTTTGCTGTATATCTCTTATTAAGAGATATACAGCAAAATGCTATCAAAATCTTGAATTAACCCTATTGCCACAGGTACCTTTTACTGTGCATGACACAAGGTTTTAGTGTTTAAAATCCAAAATTTTATTAAACAACTTTTTGTGTAAGTTATGCCAATTAGAATAGCATAAAATCTTAGCTAATAATCCATATTTTAATGGTATACAAGTATTAAGTTCTTAATTTTACAAGGCAATATTTAAAAAAATCTTGAACTTCCCCTAGGGTGATACACATGATACATTTTCTCTTGGCATGTCATCATCCCTATATTATCCACCAACCCTCAAAAATTACAAAATTAAACATAAAATACTTTCTATAAAATCATTATTCCTCAAACAAACCATAGCTATTGAATAGAAAATCAGACCCATCCTACTACACCCAACTGTCACATCCTCTCTTTCACAATTTGTTGATAGTTCTCTCTTACCTTTCATTATATATTACCTATAACCAATAGAAAGTCAAGGTTTTCATCTGTCAAATGACATATTGTATAATGTTATGTTCTGAACTGTTAAATGTCAATTTCATTCAGAGTACAAGCAACGTTCCCAAGGGAAAGTTAATGACTAGCTTGGACAAACTTGTCTACTTTTTGCATGTTATTAGTCTATATTCTTTGGTGCATTATTTAATTAAATAAAAATTATTAAGTGCATTACTATCTATAGTATAAAAAATTAGGGTTAACTCTCTTCAAAAACCAACAGCCAGAAAAAAAGAAGATTGGGTTAGTATTTTATTTCTTGTTTTTCATATGTATTCTTTATTTATTATTATCAAAGTAACTAAAATCTACAAATATGGAGCTTTTTAAGTTATCTAAGACTAGATTAGGTAAAATAAGTAATAATACTAATATAATTAACATGGGTCACGAGGAACGCATATGAGCAGCTCATGGGTAATGTAAATCAATAGCGTACCATGAGCTGCATGTTCCCTGAATGCTTTACAACTTATTATGGCACGAGTAGTAGTTAGACACAGTTCAAAGGGTAATAAAACAATAAAATTTAATTATAAATAGATGTATACTATTACGAACTTAGAGCTACTTAAAAGATAAATGAATGTAGTTTCATGTTACAAGTTGAAGTCATTCTAGAAAGAAAAAAGGTAATTTAGGTTTATTTCAATTTTTTATTTTTTTTTGGTAGTTACAAGGTCAGTCGAATTGACCACTCCCATTTTGAGGTAGGCTAGAGAAAATAACAGATAAACAACAAAGTTTGACTGAAAAAACAACGTTTGAAATGCATTTAGTAGGTTTTAAGGATTACACAAAGGAAATTTGAGATGAGGAAAAGTATTTTTAATTTTAACATGAAAATTACTTTGCACATGGACTATTCAAAACAAATACTCAATATATTAATAGACAAATCTATTTTATTTTATTAAAAAGACTTCTCTAAAAAAATATGATTTTTTTGCATGTGAAAGACTGCCAAATTTTGTGAAGATATATACACACTATATTGAAAGTTAGAAGTATTAAATCTATAAAGACTTTAAT